AAATATACTCATTACCTTGCTCATATAACTGTAACCCCTCTGTACAGTATTTTCATAATAAAAAACTTATTAAAAAAAAGATCACAATCCTGGAAAAAAACAAAACATTGTACAGAACAATACCCCACAGCAAAGAACCACCTGGCTCCAAATGTCAATTCTGCAGGGCTGAGAAGTATGACTCAACAAGTGGCAGATGGTACTAAAGAAAGGGACCAAGCCGGGAGCCAGAGGCTCACACTTGTAATCCTAGTTACTAGCTACTCAGGAGGCTGAGATCTGAGGATCACAGTTCAAAGCCAGCCTTGGCAGAAAAGTATGTGAGACTCCTTATCTCACAGAAGTGGCACTGTGGCTCAAGTGGTAGAGCACTAGCTTTGAACATAGAGGCTCAGAGACAGTGCCTAGCTGTAAGTCCAAGTCTCAGGATTGGCACACACAAAAAGAGCCAAATGTGGTAGTATATGTAAGAAGAGTATAGTTCAAGGCCAGCCTGAGTAAAAGTATAAAAGCCTTTCTGAAATATAAGCTAAAATCAAAAGGACTGAAGGTGTGGCTCAAGACCCTGATTCAATCAAAAACATTTCAGTCTGACATCTCTGAAAATGAGGTATTATTCTTGATAGTGCAACTCTGATGAGTGAAAACTAGTAACTGAGCTATTTCTCTTTACTGTCAGATATCAAAACACAGGCATAGCTTGCCTCAAATGCAGGGCTACCCATACATCTATGTAGTTCAACACAAAGTACTCACTGGTCACGAAGTATGTCCCCATCCTGATTAGGATAGAAAGCAAGCTTGAAAATCCGGTTCATCACACTGCGTTCGATAGCCAACTGGGCATCCTGAAGCTGTTCTTCACTGGCATTTTGCCAGATGACATCCTGAGCCATTGCACCGTAAAGGAACTGCAGAAAATCTTCTACTTGAGCAGTTTTATCATCAGCTGCTGTGAGTTTCTGAAAGTCTCCAATGAAAAATATTTTTGAAATATACCATGATGGCTGGGAATGTGGCTTAGTGGTACTTCCTAGCATGCACTGGGTTCAATTTTGATCCCCTGGGTTCAATTCCTCAGTACCACGTAAACACAAAATCCTGGAAGTGGAGCTGTGGCTCAAGTGGTAGAGCTCTTGCCTTGAGCACAGAGGCTCAGGGACAGAGCCCAGGTCCTGAGTTCAAGCCCCAAGACCAGGCCCCCTTATCCCCTAAAAATACATACACACCATGAAAATGTAAAAGAGGAATTATTGTAGTCACCCCATCCTGTTTTGTTTCCTAGCTTCAGTTAACCTTGATATGAAAGTATTAAACAGAAAAGTCTAGAAATAAGCAATTCATAAGTTTTAAACTGCATATTTTTGTGAGTAACATAAAGAAGTTTAGAAGCCTCTGCTCCATCTAGCCCAGAAAGGGAGTTCTCTCTGTTCAGTGCATCCACTCAATATATGCTACTGCTCATTAGTCACTTAGTAGCCATCTCCCTAATCAGTGTAAATATAAGCATATGAAGTGTCCGGCATCCACTGGGGAGTAGGAGCATCTTGAGTAGGAGCATCTTTATTTACCTCTGGTAAATAAAAGGAGACTACTCTATACAGATTATTTCAGTTGCTAATGGGGCAGACACCAAGACCCTAAAGCCAAGAGTGTTATTTAGAAGAATATGCAGCTATATCATTAAAAAGAAGAGACAGTAAAAAATATACAAGTATTTAAGTTCAAAGCTATATTATAAAAAGATGTATTGTTTTAGAACTTGTACAGTTTCAGACTGGACATGGTGACTTACACCTGTAATCCTAGCACTCAGAATTTAAAGCAGAAGGATCAAAAGTTTGAGGCTATAGCGCTGGAAAAGTGGCTCAGTGGTAGAGCACTTGCCTTGCATGCCTGAGGCCCTGGGTTCGATTCCTCAGCATCACATAAGCAAAAAGAAAAAAGCTGGAAGTGGCGCTGTGACTCAAGTGGTAGAGCGCTAGCCTTGAGCTGAAGAGCTGAGGGACAGTGCCCAAGCTCAGAGTTCAGGCCCCAGGACTGGACCCCCCCCCAAAAAAAAAACAAAAAACAAAAAAAAACTTAACTCTTGGGGCTAGGAGGTGGCGCAGTGGTAGAGTGCTTGCCTTGTATGCATGAGGCCCTGGGTTCGATTCTTCAGCACCACATAAGCAAAAAGAAAAAAGCCAGAAGTGGCGCTGTGGCTCAAGTGGCAGAGCGCTAGCCTTGAGCTGAAGAGCTGAGGGACAGCACCCAGGCCCAGAGTTCAGGCCCCACAACCGGACCCAAAAAAAAAAACAAAAAACAAAAAAAAACTTAACTCTTGGGGCTAGGAAGGTGGCGCAGTGGTAGAGTGCTTGCCTTGTATGCATGAGGCCCTGGGTTCGATTCTTCAGCACCACATAAGCAAAAAGAAAAAAGCCAGAAGTGGCGCTGTGGCTCAAGTGGCAGAGCGCTAGCCTTGAGCTGAAGAGCTGAGGGACAGTGCCCAAGCTCAGAGTTCAGGCCCCAGGACTGGACCCCCCAAAAAAATTTTTAACTCTTTAGTTTTTATGATAAATTATAATATTCAATCCATGAAAAAAAAGAAAATTATTAGAGATTTGGCATCAAAGTTTAATGATTTCCAGGGGTGGGTACAGTAGCTCACACCTATAATCCTAGCTACTTGGATGGCAGCTGGGGCTCATCTAAAAAAATATACTGTGTATGCCTGGATTCCAAGTTATATGGGAGGCTTTAGGCAAAAGGATTATGGGAGAAGGCTAGCCCAGGGGCAAAACGTGAAAAACCTTATCCAAAAACTAACTAGAGCAAAAAAGAGCCGGGAATATGGCTCAAGTGGTGAGCACCTAAATAGCAAGTATGAGGACTTAAGTTTTTACTCCAGTACTGCTAAAAATAAACAAGATATAAACTAATAATTAAGCCTTGTTTTTTGAGAATGATCTTGCCATATAACCCACCCAAGCTGGGTGACTCAGCTACCCAGTGTGACTCAGTCTCCATGTGTGGGGATATCACACCAACTTTAAAATTTATTACTAAGAATCCATAAAAGAACTGGGTATTAGTGCGGTGCTGGTGGCCCATGCCTGTAATCCTAGCTTCTCCAGAGGCTGGGAACTTTACTGTTATCTGAGGATTACAGTTCAAAGCCACCCTTGGCAGGAAAGGCTGTGGACTCTCAACTACCAGAAAACAGGAAGTGGAGCTATGGCTCCACCTTTGCCTTAAGCAAAAGAGCTTAGGGATAGCACCCAGGCCCTAAGTTCAAGCCCCACGACTGACAAAAAAAAAAAGAACTGAGTATTAAAAAACTGTTCTAAGACAAATGGGTACTTACACAAACAAAACAGAGCAAAAGAAAAGAAAATTGTCCAGTCTTTCCAATAATACATGATTGAAGAGATGCTTCATTCAAAGTATTTTTTTCTCCCAATACTTTTCCTTTTTTTCTGGGGGGCGGCAGTATTGGGGTTTGAATTCAGGGCCTGAGCCACATCTCCAGCTCTTTTCTAAAAGCAAGCAATTACCTTGAATGAATTCTCTGATCTTCTTTTCTTTGCTCTCAAGCAATAATCTCACACAAACAGTGGTAAAATACCGATTAGCCACCTCTTTGTCCCGCAAAACCCTTTGCAAGAGCCTTTCCAGGTGAGCCTGTGTGGTCTGCAGTCCTTGTCGACAGCGTGTAAGATAAGCAATGTACGGGGCTCTTTTCCTAAAAAGAGAAATGCTTTGTAGGAGAGCAGATGTATATAGAAGCACTAGCAGAGGTTGAGCATCCTATTTTAAAAAATTAAATTACTTTATAAACTTTGGTTTTAGTTGGGTGCCAGTGGCTCACACCTGTAATCCTAGATACTCAGGAGGCTGAGATATAAGGATCACGGTTCAAAGCCAGCCTGGGTAGGAAAGCTCCTGAGACTCTTATCTCCAATAAACCACCAGAAAACCAGAAGTGGCATTGTGGCTCAAGTGGTAGAGCGCTTGCCTTGAGCTGAAAAGCTCAGGGACCCAGACCCAGAGTTCAAGCCCCATGACTGACTAAATAAATAAAATGAAATAAACTTTGGTTTTATAAACTGGCATATCCATCCAGCTGTAGACAAGTCATGTGGGGACTATTGTCAGCTCAAGAGACAGAACCTTTGGTGCTTATTTCTGACTAACTTCATTAGGTTGAACATTTAGCTAACTAACTCACTAAATGTTTCTAAGTCCCTTCACATACTTGGTCCATTTCAAATGGGAACCTGGTTTCCATGCTGGAAGGATCTCCTACTTAACAGGAAATTGACTATTACAGAAGACTAAAAGTACCAAAAAGTACAGATTACTTACAAGCCATTAAGCACCCTCCACTAATTATTTGCTTGTAGCATAAATATAACAAATATTAGAAAGCTTGTTCCCCTATCCTTGGAGGCTCTGTATACGGTCTAACTACCTCAGTTATACTTTTTCTCATAACCATTAGCAAGGGCCTGGAAGCCAGAAAAGGTTAACAATTCCCAGGCCATTCCTGCTTCTCTGGTCCACTAAAGGAATCTGTCCCAACACTTCTGAAACAGGAAAGTGATAATCTAGTTATCCTGGCCTCACTTCTCGGTCACTAAAAACTGCTTGTTTACATTCAGGTAAATATAGCCACCTACTTTGTAGTAAGTCCAGATTCATTTCTGAAATAAGGACCAAAAAGAAAACGCTTGCAGCTACAAGTCAGGCCCCCAGCTGATGGGTCAGGGCTCACCTGTAGTCCTCAGCGATGGACGCCAGCAGCTTCCTGCAGGTCCTGCTATCAAAGCGGCACACGCAGCGCATGGTTTCCTGAAGTTGAGCCATTAAGTTCTTGTCTTGTAAATTGATTGCTTCAGCTATTTGAACTTTTAAGAAGCATACAATTTCATTGTCTAAATACAAAAACAAGGCTTCTGTTATTACTGAGAATTTCCATGGGTTTACATAGCCATCAGCAGCCTCTGAGCATCTGGGATGTCAATTCTACTATACTATGTATCATCAGAACTACTCACATCTAGAAAATACAAACTATCATTAATCAAAGTGCCCTTATGCAACCTAAAACAAATGTATGATGTTGAACAGCTAGATATTGGCAACTTCATATGGTTAAAGCTCTATCTTCAGGACAAGCTAAGCTATCCGTAGCAACTTACCTTCTGGGTCTGTATGGTCTGGCAATCCATTCCTTGTTGAATGAGTTAGCACTGGGAAGGCAACAGAGTCCGCAGAGCAAAGAGCAAGCCTCAGTTTCTTTTTTGCATCTCTGAAGAATAAGTACAGATTGGATTTATTACTTTATTCAGAATAGTAACATTTTTTCCTATAGTGGTAGTAGAGGTTAAGCCTAGAAATAGCACATTTTGCTAAGGCATACGCTCTACCACTGGGCTATATCTTCAGTCAAAACAGTCACATTTTTGATTGTTTAGTAAATAAATTTATAAGTCCTGCTTCAGGACTCAAAATTTTCAAATAATCATTTTAAGTAAGTCTGACCTGCACCTGTAGCTCATGCCTCTAATCCTAGCTACTCAGGAAGCTGAGATCTGAGGGTCGTAATTTGAAGCCAGCTGGGGGAGAAAAGTCCCCCTGAGATTCTTATCTCCAATTAACCATTCAAATACTGGAAGCAAAGCTGTGGCTCAAAGCAGTAGAGCGCTTGCCTTGAGCAAAAACGTTCAGAGACTGCTCCCAGGTCCTAAGTTCAAGCTTCATGACTAACAATAAACAACAACAACAAAAAAACCCAACTAACTTTTTTTGGGCTGGGAATGTGGCTTAGTAGTAGAGTGCTTGCCTAGTACACATGAAGCCCTGGGTTTGATTCCTCAGTATCACATAAACAGAAAAAGCTGAAAGTAGTGGTTCAAACTGTGGCTCAAGTGGTAGAGTACTAGCTTTGAGCAGAAGAAACTTAGGGACAGTGCCTAGGCCCTGAGTTCAAGCCCCAGGAGAGAGAGAGAGAGAGAGAGACACGGGGGGAGGAGGAGGGGAGAGGGAGGGACGGAGGGACAGAAATACAGGCATGGCCTGGTATGAGGAAGGCATGAAGAGAGCTCCAGCAGGTTGACTGGGATAGTGGCTGTGTCGTCCGTCACCCTGTGGCTGGACCCCTGCAGGCCAAGTCCTTGCTTCCTATGTCCTCCCTGATGTACCTTACACGGGCAGAGGCAGAGGCGCTGCAGCCTGTTGCATTTAAATTTACATATGTGGCTCATGGACATATATTAGGTGTTGTTTTTTAATCCCTGAATTAATGCTCTAGATGTCTGACATCCACAAATAAAGCTAAGTCTTCTTACAAGCAGCACTTCACTCTTTTCTGTTTCATACTATTAAGTGACTTAATGAGTCACTTAACTTGAATGAAATGGTGATTTAATACAAACCCTGCAAACAAATGTAATACCTGTAGGAGAAAGCTGAGTCCTGAGGGTGAGCTGCTTGGCTGGCAGAGTCAGGGAGATCATCAGCTGAGATGTTCTGTAGAGTTTCATCACGAGGAGAATCATGTGCACTTTCACCATCAGCCAAGACCTCTAAGTAAACCCATCCCCAAGATGATGATGAACAGGTTAATGTGGTTCCAGAAGAACTCAGAGCAAGACAACTGTAATAGCATTTTTTTATTGTTGTTGTTTGTGGGGCTTGAACTCTGGGCCTGGACACTGTCCCTCAGCTCTTCAGCTCAAGGCTAGTACTCTACTACTTGAGTCATAGCGCCACTTCCAGTTTTCTGGGTGGTTTACTGGAGATGAGTTTCATGGACTTTCCTGCCCAGACTGGCTTTGAACTATGATCCTCAGATCTTAGCATCATGAGTAGCGAGGATTACAGGTGTGAGCCACCAGTGCCCGCTGTAATAGCATTTTCTCACAATAAGACTCTGGATGAAAAATATGAAGAAAGATAAATACTTAACCAGGTTATCAAGAGCAATGCATTGAGAGAAAATGCTGGAAAAAAAAGACTTTTTTGGTTTGTTTTTTTTAACCGTAAACTAAAGCAGTAAAAGACTAAAAATTAGTTAGACTAAAATTAGTTAATATTCTGTAATCAGAATAACTGAACTGGGCTGGGATGGTGGCTCAGTAGTAGAGCGCTTGCCTTGCATGCATGAGGCCCTGGGTTCCATTCCCCAGCACCACATAAGCAGAAAAAGAAAAAAGCCGGAAGTGGCACTGTGGCTCAAGTGGCCTTGAACTGAAGAGCTGAGGGACAGCACCCAGGCCCAGAGTTCAAGCCCTACAACCAGACCCAAAAACAAAACAAAAAAAACCAAAACAGAATAATTGAACCACAAGAGCCTCAAAAAACATTTTACTAAATAATACCTTTTTTTAGAAACATCTTGTCAGTCAAAAAAAAATCCCTTCCTCTGGTATCTTGGTTGGTCAACAGCTGGGCTGAGGTAGATGCAGAACTCAAGCATCCCAAACCTCCTAGCAGAGTCCTCCTGCCACCCCCACAAATAAACCAGGGAGCACCTTACAAACATCAAGGGCGCTACTACACTTCCCATAGCTGTTATGTATTTAATTAGTCAGTTAAAACAAGGTCATACATATAATGTCAAAAGAAGTAAAAAGTTTCTGAATGTGAACAAAGATATTGGATTCATTTAGTAAAATATCCTTATTCTTAGGAGAAAAATGTTTCAAGAAAAAAAGAATAATGTAGGGAGAAAAATGTAACAAAACATTAAAACAGGTAGTCCAAGTACAGAGAACATGAGCCTTCACTACACAATTCTTTCAACTTTCTGTCATTTGAACACTTTTCAAAACAAAAGAAGCAGAACTTCTCTTCTTCCCTCACAGGAGTTCTGTTCACAACTAGGTCATGTTACCAGTTTATGGGAGATGTTTTCAAAAGATTCTTCAACATACACAAGCATACATACAAACACACATACACACACAACTATACACACACACACACATGCAAAATGCTACTTATGTTTTTATATACTTTTGCTTTTGTTTAGTTTATCTTGAGGACTTTACTAGTATTCCACTATGAGGAGAACAGAATACTATAAAAACAACAATGTATAACCTATCCTAAGTGTCTGTGACCTCTCATCAGTGAAGTGGATAAAAGAATACTTCTTAGGGGCTTGGAATATGGCTTAGTGGTAGAGTGCTTGTCTTGCATGCATGAGGCCGTGGGTTCAATTCCTCAGTACCACATAAACAGAAAAAAAAAAAAAGCCAGAAATGGAGCTGTGGCTCAAGGGTAGTATGCTAGCCTTGAACAAAAGAAGCTCAGGGACAGTACCCAGGCCCTGAGTTCAAGCCCCAAGACTGGCCAAAATAAAAAAGAACACTTCTTAATAAAGCACATGCCAAATCCTACTGATGTCACCCCAGTCTTCAAGGATGACAACACTAAGACATCTGTGCATCTGGGTTATCTGGGGGTATACAGCTTCATGGACATAATTAGTCTGATTCAGTTACATCTGTATTCCCTATAGTGATTCATTTTAAAAGCTACTGAAACTGGACTCTTTACCACTAGATAAAAAGGTTACAATTTAAATATTAGTGATCACCTGTACTTTCATAGTTTGCCATTGCTCCTTCACTGGGGCTGCTCCGTTTAATGGCATTCCGGTACTTGTCCAGAATGTCTTCAGCAACCTGAGCTTGTGCACTGAGCCTAGGGCTGGGATCATCTGCAGGGGAAAGGAGAGTATGAGAATTAGCTCCCTGGGCTTGTTCCAATTCTGTTGTTAGTATGATACCAGTAGCATAAATCCCAAAGGCGGATTAGGAGGTAAGAACTTAAAAAGAGCACATATCTCAGTGTTACAAGGCACCATGCAGCTGCCACATCTAGGTCTAAGAGCCTTGCTAAAGCAGGAAACCGGAGGGATCATTTCACCTTATCATCATCACCGGAATTCTGCATGACAGTGTCAAGTTCAGTGCAGACTGAATGGATGATGGGTTTCTAAGGTGCTTAATAATGTCAGTCAGTTATTAGACATTCATACTAACAGACCTTCCAACAGTGCTTTGTTTTAGAAAGGGAGTCTTACTATATATAGTCCAGGCTGGTCTTGAACTTGTGATTCTCCTGCCTCAGCCACCTGGGTGCCAGGATTCAAGGCATGTGCCACTAGACTTACAACATCTCTATGACAGAGTAAAAGAAAGGGCTATTTAGGCGGGGTGCCGGTGGCACACGCCTGTAATCCTAGCTACTCAGGAGGCTGAGATCTGAGGATCGTGGTTCAAAGCCAGCCTGGGCAGGAAAGACTGTGAGACTCTTATCTCCAATAAACCACTAGAAAACCGGAAGTGGCACTGTAGCTCAAGTGGTAGAGTGCT